TTATTATTATTTTTATATATTTTGAAATGTTCTTCTTTTGTGGTTTCCTGGTGAAGGAAAAATGTGTTGTCGTAATGTGAAATAATGTTTTGAACTAATTAATTTAGCCTATATGAATCAAAGCCAAGCCTATCATCAGTTCACATTCCTTAATTAAAAACAGGATATTAAGTATTTTCAGTGTTTCTATGTGTTTGTGTGTGTTCCAGTGTGTGATCTGAGGATTGTTCTTCTGGGGAAGAATGTATCAGAAAACAGCAGAGTCAGAAACTCAATCCTGGGAATAGATGTGCATGAGAGTGATGCACATATAAAGCAGCACAATGTGCTGAAAATCAGTGGAACAGTGAAGAACAGGCACGTCACAGTCATTAACACTCTTCATCTGCTGAATCTAAACATCTCAGATCATCAGATCACACAGACAGTGAGAGACTGTGTGAATCAGTCTGATCCAGGACCACATGCGTTCATACTCATACTGCAGTATAACGACTTCACTGAGGTGGACATGCATAGAGTGAAACTTGTGCTCAACAAATTCAGTGGAGAAGCGATTAAATGTGCCATCGTTCTCACGACTGATGAAGAGAGAGACGACTCAAACATTCATCAGCTAATAAAGGAATGTGGGGGAAGATATTTGGAGTTTAAAAAAGAAACCCCAGAATGGCAATCTGACATATTCAAGAGGGTTGATAAGTTACTTCAGGAAAACCAGGAAGAATTTCTCACATGTGAAATATTTCATGATGCTGAAGGAACATCAGTGGATGAAGAGCAAAGATCTCATGGTTCAGTCAGATCAGAGGAAAAACACAAAGAGCGTTCTTATTGCAAAGATGATGGAAAACTCGAACAGAGCAAGAGAAGTGAAGAAAGTCTAAGTATGTTTTTAGAATTTCTCTTCTTATTATGCTAATGAAATAGAATAACTATACAAAACTACATTTTAATAATAAAAAAAGCTTCCAAACAAAACATGGCAAGAGCTTTCATATCAGTTTGACTATCAGCAGCACTTATTTTGTTACTGTTGTTAAACTTGTGCCCTGTGAACTGTTTGCTGGAAAATTTCCAGCAGACAGTGTTTCACAAAACCTGTACTGTGAATCATTCTCATTGAATAAAGTGTACATGTGCATAATGTGAAATGAAAAACTCAAAGGAAGTGAATTGGAACATGAACACAAGAATGAATAGAGGAACAGGGAACAGCTTTAATGCTTTGGACCAAATAACAAAAGAAAAAAAAAATGCTTAGCAAATAACATTAACAACAAAAAAGTTTATATGAAAGATGATTGCAGATTTAAAATTTGGAATGACAGAAAACAGCATGACTTTTTGTACATTGTCAGACATTCTTTTTTTTTCTTTCTTTTTTTACAGTTGATATAAGAGAGTGGATTCGCTCCAACTGTAAGTTGATGAAACTATTGGAAGCTAACATTTTCATATTCTAAAATGTGGTTGTTGTTTCAGGAAGTTTAATGTTTTTAATATGTTTTCAGTGCCAGCAAATCTCTCTGGAAAACAGAAGCTGAACCTGGTTCTGTGTGGAAGTGATCCAACATTTAAAGTCTCTGTGTCCAAACTTTTACGAGGAAAAAATATAAAACCTTCACATCAGAGAGAGAGCAGTGAAGGGTGTGTGAAGAAAGAGAAGAGGATTCATGATCGTCAGATGAGTCTGGTGGAGCTTCCAGCTCTGACTCGGCTCTCAGAGGAGGAAGTGAGGTGTCAGACTCTCAACTGTGTGTCTCTCTGTCATCCTGGAGTTCATGTTTTCCTCCTCATTGTTCCTGTTCCTCCACTTACTGATGAAGACAAAACAGAATTAGAGAAGATCCAGAAGAACTTTTATTCCAGAGAGCATTTCATAGTAATGTTTATCAGTGAAGGCACTGTTAAAAGACCAGTGACAGAGTTTATAAAAAACAGCCCAGAATCTCAGAGGTTAATCAGTCGTTGTGGAGGTCGGTACTGTGTGATGGGTTTAAAAGAGCATGAAAACTCAAGACAGATCCCAGAACTACTGGATTATATAGAGAACATGAAGACTGAACCATATTCACCTCAGATTTATGTGCAAGCTCAGGAGAACAGAGCCAGACATCAAACAGAGGAGAAATATGAAGAGAAACTGAAGAAAATGGAGGATGAAATCATAGAGTTAAAGCAGAAGATTCAGTCAGAAGGTGAGTGCTTTTTAAGCTTATGCATCTTCATCAGAATCACAATCTTGCAGCAATCATGATGTGTGTTCTCTAAGTATGTTGTTAATGTAGAACAAGATTTATCTAATTCATAATCGATTCAATCTTTTGAGTCCGCTCTTTTCCATTAATTGGTCAAATTGGTTAGCAAAACAGTAACATGATACTTTAACTCTTTTGAAAAATAAATATTTGCCTTCAGAAGTGTCTCATGGATTGTCAGTGAAGAAAGTCTTTTAAGTTCATGCTTTTTAAGTTTAAAGGGATAGTTCACCCAAAAATGAAAATATGCTGCTAACTTACTCACCCTCAGGCCATCCAAGATGTATAGGTGACTTTTTTCTTCAGTAGAACATTTAAGAAAGTTTTTAGGTAAAACTGTTGTTCTTGGTGATTCATATCTAGCATAGCGTTAGTTCTGGCAGGTCACGTTAGTCAAGCTCGCATCAGCTAACTCTCAGCTGATCCCCATCAACCTATGGGAATACAACACCTATCTAAGCATTCATATATAAGGTCCCTCAGTATTATCAGCAGTTTTCGCATTGCTCAATAGCTAATTAAATGGCGAATTCGGCAGGCAAAACACCATCATCACTAGGAATCTGGAATTTAGAGAAGTGGAATTCGTTTCCCCAATGGTCTCACCTCCGATTCATTCAAATTCGTTAACTTGAACACGTGAATTCACTGCATTGATAATAAGCTGCCCGATTCAGCATTATTTCACGCATTGCTACATTATTGTCATGGACTCCACGAGTTATGTGACTGACTCAAGAACAAGTTCAGATGGGAACTTCATCCCAAATAAGGATATCAAGAGATCAAGGATCCACTTCAAAGCTGTTATGCTTCACTCTCGAACATCTTCGCAAGCTAAGTTCCATTTAATGCTCTCAGGTTATCTGCAACATGCGTGTTGCTTAGGCTCATTAAGTTGTTTTCAGTTAAATGCTTGTGCTAGTTCATGCGAATGTGCGGTACTTATCTGTTGTCACTTGCAACACGCTTATCGCTGCAATATGCTGCGCTTAACGGGGGGTCTAATGTAATTTCATGCATTCTGAGTTATTTACACTGTTAAGAGTTGGATTCTTATGTGCGTGCACGCACTCAGTGACCCAAGCCAGAGCAAGAGCTCTCTTAACGCGTTTCTTTCATGGTTACGGAAGTCTTCGGCAGTGCCGCAGTTACTTGCTTGAGAAGACTGGTTGTTCGAGAGGAACTATACAAGCCTGCCTCCAGCTGAAGAGAGTAGCCGCTTGCAGTCAGGGCGGAATTAAAGCGGAGACGTCAAGTGTGTCTGCATAGATTCAATTCAATTCAATTTAATAAAGTGGGGGTGTATATGCTTTCATCAGTGTTTTTTGAAACGTGACTCAATATAACAGTGCGACTACCTAAAAAGGCTTTTACTGTTATAAAAACATAGATTTGTGAGCAACATTGGAATTGAATTGTTAGAATAAGCATGCAACTCACATCGTGCTTGTCATCACAGAATTTAACCAATGAGAATAAAGTGTGTCGTCATCAATGCTTTTGCAGTGCCTGACCTAGGCGGCTGGTCCCGTTTTGCTCTCGCGGTACTTTGAATGCACAAGTGATCGTAAGGCGGCTGTAGCGCCGATCAAAGTTGGACAAAATAATTTTTTGTGTAACCAGAATGCATTGTTTATGACAGGTGACAGCCGATTTATGCGGTGCCACAAGAAGTCGAACTAGATAATATCTCTAAAGAGTGTGGGGTTTTTTTGGATGTGAGGAAAAGATAACCTTATTCAGTGTTATGTGAACAGTGGATGCAATTTGTTTTTTCAAGGCAGCAATGGAGTTTCTCAAGTGTGTTTGTTTGTTTCATCATTTTGGTGACAAATGTTTTATAACAAGGTACATTCTGACACTGGATTTGCAGATCATTTGGTACTGAAAGATGGAGAAGCCCCAGCAATAAAAGATCCCGGTCATATAAGAACTGCTGTAAAACTGCATCAAATGTCTGTGATTGTTAGTAAGTGTAAGTGCTCGCGACTCTTCTGCTCCGCCCACGGCTCGCCTCCAGGGGCTTGGCTGTTTTCGGAGGGAATCGCGCGACTCTTCTGCTCCGCCCACGGCTCGCCTCCAGGAGCTTGGCTGTTTTCGGAGAGAATCGCAAAGCTGTATCTTTCTTTTATAAATCTGATAAAATTGAAGACTCTTCGGAGATGTGAATGATGCAATACTACACTATATGTATTCAAGATTAACATGAGATTGGCCAAAACTGTGTGTGTTATGTCCCCTTTAACCTAGTCAAGTCGACTTTATTTTTATATAGTCTCAGCCTCGCCCTCGGAACGTTGGCTGAAGGTCTGATGCATACGGCACACAAAAGTGGAAACACTTCAGGAGTTTTGAAGTCGTCATCGGATTGGTTGAATTATACAGGATTTCCGGGAGACGTGTGTGTCAAGTTCTTTAACGTTCCGCTGGAAACAAAGATGCCGTGACGCCAAACCCTCACGAAAGAAGAAAGCTGTCATGTTTACAACTGTGACGACGAGCGCTTATCAGGATCAACTAAACGCTGGATTCTCAAAAGTATGTAAATATTTCAAGTTTGTGGCACAGAATCTTTCAAATACATCCGAGACTTTTACACACCGGTCTGTTATTGAGGCGACATATCCACGCCACGAAACGTGCTGCTGAACGAAACGAACTGTGATTGGTTGTTTGACATGTTGGTCAAAAGGCCTCATGGGTGGGCTTTGGCAAAAGAATGCTGCCATGAATTCCAGACCTTCAGCCGTCAGACTAATTTTATAGCGTTACTGCACAGATTTAAACAGCAGGAAATAACGACCATGGTGCAAATGGAATCATTTCTGCCGCAGCGCAGCTCCAAGAGAAAATGATAAACGGTCATCGTTCAGTTGAAGTCATCTGCATCCGAAAACATGAATCTATCAGCTAATGACTTCGCAGGCAGCGTTTGTTCATGAAGGTAACTCAAGAAACTGATATTGGACATGCTTCTGAGGCAGCTTAATGGTTCAATGATCTACAACAAAATAGAACGAGCTTGGTGATAACTAAGCAAATATTCAATGATTTATTTGATCAACCATCACCGGATAGAACACACAGGATTGTGGGTATCAAGGCAGCAAAGGATACATCTATTCTGCCTTTAAATATCGACCAGATCAGGTATCTCAGGAGGCAGGAATTGAAGCTAACTTTGGATTCGATGTGTCTCAATGCCTTCCTACCTTGAAATGTGTCGTCCGAAGGCAGCATTTTCCAGTTTTGGATGCAGCCGTCAGTTCAGCGTTGATTCTGTTCCTGTATCTGACACGCTTGTTCTGTCTATTCGTATTGGAAACATGCTTGTTCTTAAGCTTGGTCGTTATTGGGAACATGCTTGTTCTTAAGTTATAGTTGTATTGTCAGGAACACGCTTGTCCCAGAGCTATCTGCTTGTTATTGGAACATGCCTGTTCTAAAAGCTGTAGTCATATTGGGAACATGCTTGTTCTTAAGCTGTCTAGGCGTATTGGAAATATGCTTGTTCTTAAGCTACCTGGTCATTATTGGGAACATGCTTGTTCTTAAGTTATAGCTGTATTGTTGGGAACATGCTTATTCCAGAGCAATCCGGTCGTTATTCAGAACATGCTTGTTCTGAAAGCTGTAGTTGAATTGGAACATGTTTTTCTTAAGTATTGTAAGTGTTATTGAGAATGCTGCTTAAGCTTTTAAGGTATTGGCAACATATTCATTGGTCATCTGTTAAAGGCAACAGAATTGTTGCTACAGGTTACGCGGGTTTTGGCAACATATTTGATTGGTCATTGGTTAAGGTCAACATGCTTGTTGCTTAAGGCTTTGAGATTTTGCTATCAGTTTGGTTTGGGGGGTTATCGCTGCTCTCCCTGCTCTCATCCATGCTAGGCTGCATGGATGCACAGGGAGTTCTTGCCCAGAACGGAACCATACCGCCAATCCAAACTGTATGCTAATTGTCCATCATCTTTGACGATAGTGGTCCTGACAAAAATCTAGCGTAGCGTTAGTTCTGTCAGGTCACGTTAGTCAAGCTCGCATCAGCTGATTCTCAGCTGATCCCCATCTACCCATGGGAATATGACACCTATCAAAGCATTCTTATATAAGGTCCCTCAGTATTATCAGCAGTTTTGCATTGCTCAATAGCTAATTACCACTGTATGTCTGTGGCTGCTGGTCTTTGAGCATCAAAAATCCCAAACAAACATACAGACAAGACCAAATAAATACCCCTGGCTCCTGATAAATTGAAGTCTAATGTAGTGAAACGATCGGTCTGTGCATGAACTTTCTGTCGCGTAATGACGTATGCACAGAGCTGGGTAGGAAATAATTACATGTAATCTAGATTGAGTAATCAAATTCCAAAAATCAAGTACTTGTATTTAGAGTATATTACATTTTACAATGTTCATGAGATTACAGTTACTTTTTTATCGATTACATGATTACATATTATTCACACAATGGCATTAAATCATTCATAAATTATTTATTAATTCTCCCTAATTTTATCTTTTTTCTCTTTTAAATTTCTAAAAATGTGTCTGCACCCATTTAGCTTTGACTGTGTTCACAACATAGAATGACCATGTAAGTGTCATGTAAATAAATTTGCAAACCATGCTTCTGAATTTGGGTGAAAAACGTCTTGGTTACGTATGTAACCCTCGTTCCCTGAAGGAGGGAATGGAGATGTCACGTTGTGACCGACAAATTGGGATCTCGCTTAGAGAGACCAATCCCCTTAGTGTAAACTAAACGAGCCAATGCACATTGGCATGTGATGATTGCATCCAGCTGCCGCTGATCACAGCGTGAGCATAAAAAGGCAGCCGGTGAAACGCATACCAGGTTTTCGCTGAGGAGACGAGCCGGTGATCCGGCCGCTCAGCGGTGGTACAGCAGCCGTGGCGACGGGACGTGAC